AAATTATATATAAAAATGGATAAATTATTTATAAAAATGGAAATACTATGTAATACATGCATTAATTTTCTATTTTAGTATAACTTGTGCATATGACTTTTGGTCTAAATTTTATACACTGAGCAGAAAACATTTTACTTTAAGCATTTCAAATGGAATGTTGTTCTGTCTTGCATGTTGATTGATTAATATTGATTAATCAGATTTTGAGCACGTGTTGTCGATTTTGTGTTACATAACGTGTATCGAAGTGTTAAAGTATGAGTCGCATAAACATTTCGCGTTTTTATATTTATTTAAATCAGTGAAAAAAAAATATATAATTAATCAAAAAATTACATTTTAATCAAAAACTTGATTTAATAAATTTTTTAATAAAGTAAAAAAAATAATATTGTTTAAAAATACACATTTAATTAAGTAAAATAATAATTTTTTTGTGATATAAATTTTCTTTGATAAAAGCATTTTTTTTATGTGATTAATATAATGCTTCGGACACTCCAACGGTTCCGGCAACAAATTTTGCCGAGTGTCCCGTGACTTATGAAAATAAAATATCAATCATTCAATATCGATATGATGTTCTTTACAAAACTTGATTGCGGGAATATATTCATTATACGCAGCTAATTTCATATAATATATAGCCTTTTGTTCATCTCTCTTAGCTCCACCACAACCTTTAAAATGTAGATTTCCAGCATTATACATTGCCACTTAAGGCCATTTTCGGCCGCTTTCTCAAAATATTTGAGGGCTTCCTCCAAATTCTGGTTAACTCCTTTACCATTATGTAAGCAATCCCCATATCTTAATTTCGCCTCAGGAAATTCATTTGCTTCATCATCAGCAACTTCTTTAAATAATTCCGCAATAACCTTTTCTTTGTCCTTAATATTACCCGAATCAGCATATCCTTTTGAAATATAATATGCTTTATAATATTTAGCTTTGACTTGATTGAATTTTGCATACGCTTCGAAACATTTGTACGCATTAGTTAAATCTCCAACGATATTACCACTTCTATCAACCAATCGATGCTGCAATTCTGCTTCAGCAAGTGTCATGTAATTGAATGACTCGGAATCTGGTAAATCTTCATATTTAATGACAAATTCATCTTGGTCCATACTGAATTGTCGTTGCGGGGTTGGAATTGGCGGTTTTTTTAGTTTCGGTGGCACGTAAATTTGCTTTTGTGAATTTATAGGGGATGGTGAAGCTTTGATGAATTCTTTGAGAATGTTTCGAAGTTCTTTGAACATATCTGTAATTTTTGGCCTAAATTCTGGATCTTGATTAACAGCTAAAAAAAAAACAGACAAGGGAATAAGTTATAATTTTTTTTGCGAGACAAAAGTTTAAGATCAACGCATACCATCACTTGTTAATTTTTGGAATTCGATAGGCATTTTGTTATTTTCAGAAAAAGGCTCTCGATATTTCTTTTTAAGTACAAGTTCGGTTATAGTCAAAATATCTTCATGATCTTGATACGGAAGTTTCATCTCAGCGATTTCCCAAAGTAAGATTCCAAAGCTATAAACCTCACATTTATGATCATATTTAAAATTCGGGGCCCTATCCAACAATTCAGGAGCACAATAACGTACACGTTCTAAATTGTGCTTTTGGTTTGTCGTGGGCCCGCTCGTGTGGCGACTTAATTTAAAATTTGCAAGTTTTGCTGTATCATTAACCGTAATTAAAATATTCCTTGATCTAATGTCACGATGTACAATCTAAAAAAATGTGAAATTTCTTTAAAAAATGAATTGAACAAATTAAGCTATGATATAATTAATTAAAATTTTTTGCTTATGTTTACCTGTACAGATCTTAGAAAATTTAATCCACGAGCAATATCAAGAGATATACGTAATTTTAACGTTTCATCGAATCGTCTTTCATGTGTCGTATAAAATTCGCGTAAATTTCCAAATTCGGCCCATTCCATTACCAAATATGATTTGTTTTCATCATAGGCAAGTCCATAAAATTTTATGATGTTCTGCCAATCTTGAAATTCTTTAAAGATTGTAACTTGATTCCGTATGCTATTTTTATTTTCTACATCAGAAATGTTCTTAAATGCAAATTCTCGAGCCTCGTTTTTAATATCAAGGTATCGAGTAATACGACCATCATTACGCTGTTCATTGGTTTCTTTATAATCTGTGAAATCTAATTTATTACTTTCCGTGAAAATTTTATCAATTTTATTTTGATAATATTCAACATTGGTTTCATTTCGTACTGCACTTTTATTTTGTTCGTCCAGGATTTTTTCCATCTTATTATTCATTGTATTAATTTTTAAAACCATTGAAGAAAACTCTCCTTTAAATTCTTTGACATCAGTTCCAATTTCTTTGACGTTAACTCCCATTTCGGTCAGATACTACAATTATTAAATACGATAATTAATGAAACGTTAAATCGAATTTTGCATAGTAAGTAATGAATCTTACTTTATATAAATCTTCTTGGTCAGATTTTAATTGTTGAGCTTCGTCCTCAACGCGAATTTTTTCTTTAATCAATATGGTAAAACTCAATAAATTTATCCAACTATCAAATTCTCTACATAATTCACTAAAAGTTTTCTCAACACTTTTTGCCTTGAGATATTTCATCAAAGTATTCATTTGAGAAATTTCTTTTACGAATTTTTCAATATTTACTATAACGTTAACCAAATTTTGTAAATACAAATAGTTCCTATTTACGAAGAATTCTTTATTCTCATCTCTTCGAATTTTAAGATCAAATACAGCCAATCCTGCCGCGCGAACTCGTTGTAATAATGCTTTGCAAGTTCGTTTATTGTGCTCGGCAGCTTGTACGATTTCAACGATTTCGTTAAGCACATTTCCAATTTCGGAAATTAAAGGAACAAATTTTGCGAATGGGACTGTTGCTATAGCTGCTTCTCCGATTGCCGCAGTGAATTTTCCCGTTGTGCTAGCTATAGGTTCAACAATATTTGCAACGTCATCTAATTTCTTTGCAAAATCTTTCATTTAAATTTGAACTTTTTTTATTTTAATTTTAATTTTAATATTTTATCTTTATTTTTATTTTTATTTTATTTTTTTTTTTTTTAAAGGGAATTATGGAAGCGGAAATCCACCCTATCTGTTATATATTTGATACATTGTACCATGTTACCTTTTATTTCTGATAGCATTATTTGTGTGCTGTTTTTTTTAAAAAAAAGATAATCAAAAAAAAAAAAAGACCACTGCGCCACGACTTTATCAAATTAAAGAAAAGTAGGTATATTCCATTCATCATCTTGTGTTGTACATAAACTAGAATTATAAAGAACATCTTTTCAATTATTAGGTTATTAAAGCATTTGTAATTCCAAAATCAATTTTTTAATTATTTCATAGGATAAATGTTGAAATAAATTTTTCAAAGGAATAATATCCCAATAAAAAATTTGTATCCATGAATTGCAACAAAACGCGAATCATGAGGTTCAATTTCGAGTTAATAAAAAGTAATGATTTACTCTTCATAACTTAATCTAGATACGCGCACCACCATTGATAATTATCTAATCGATTTACTTAACCCATTCCGGCGAATTTAGAGGGCCGGGCGCTTTATCTTTAGGCAAAGAGGCGACAGGTGAACAAAAAGTATTAGACCACGTGATTATCGTTACTTAAATTGGCATAATTTTTTCGATCATTACTTTTGATGATGTAATGAATTCGTTCAAGATATATTGAACAAAGCGTTGCATGTGATATGACCAATCAAAAACTGGATCAGGTGTAACATATTGAAGTTGTGCATTTTGTACATTTTACGCGTTGTAATACATTTGTGAATTGTGAGACGCTTCGGACGCTCCAACAGTTCCCGTTACCTAGTGTAAAATTACTTATTAAATTTAAAAATTGCGATAATTTTAAAGTGTCCAATACTTTTGACCGATGTCGTTTATATAATTCTGAAAAACCTTTTCGAAAGATATTTCAAATTTATTGGAGAAATAAATATAATACATGTGAAAAAAAAAGCATACGAATATCAAAGTAAAATAAAAAAGAATAAAATTATAGTTTGATATTATGATCCTTGCAGAATGTGATTGCAGGATTGTATTCGTTATAGGCGGCTAATTTCATATATGAAATAGCTTTAGCTTCATCTTTCTTACAATTACAACCTTTATAATATAGATTTCCAACATTATACATTGCTACTCTAAGACCATCTTCAGCAGCACTTTCAAAATATTTAAGAGCTTCCATAAAATTCTGTTCAACACCTTTGCCATGATATAGGCAATCGCCATATCTTAATTTCGCCTCTGGGAATTCATTCGCTTCATCATCAGCAACTTCTTTAAATAATTCTGCAATCATTCTCTCTTTATCCTTAGGATTAAGGTCTAAATCATCATAACCTTTTGAAATATAATATGCTTTATAATATTTAGCTTTGACTTGATTGAGCTTTGCATACGCTTCGAAACATTTGTACGCGCTCTTTAAATCTCCAACGAGCTTGCCAGTTTTATCAATCAATTTATGTTGTCTTTCGGCTTCAGCAAGTGTCATGTAATTGAATGACTCGAAATCTTGTAAATCTTCATCTTTAATGGCAAATTCATAATCATTATCAATGCTAAATGTTCGTTTTGGAGTCGGAATTTTCGGTTGACTTTGTGAATCGTTAGAAGACGATGGTGAAAACTTGTGTGATAATCTGACGTACTCTTTGTTGCATTCCCCAAGGATATTAACCATTTTAGAAAGTTTGGGCCTGAAATCTGGGTCGGGACTAACAGCTAAAAGCGGAGAAAAAGAAATATTAATAAAATTTTTTCACAAGGAAGTTAAGAAAATTTTTATAAATATAACTTTTGGTTAACGTACCTTTAGTTACTAATTCTTTGAATTTTTCGGACATTCCATTAATTTCAGAAAAAGGTTCTCGATATTTCTTTTTTAGTATTAGGTTGGTTATAGTCATAATATCATGATTTGCGTACGGAATTCTCGCTTCAGAGATTTCCCAAAGCAAGATTCCAAAGCTATAAACTTCACATTTATGATTATACTTGAAATTTTGAGCCCTTTCCAATAATTCAGGAGCACAATAACGAACACGTTCTAAATTTTGATTTTGCTTTTTGGTAGGGCCGGTCAAAGGACGACTTGATTTGAAATTTCCAAGTTTTGCCACTTCATTAATCGTAATAAAGATATTTTCCGCTCTAACATCACGATGCACAATCTAAACAATTCAATAATTCATTTTTAAAATAAAGGTTTAGGTAAACAAACAATTAAATAAATAATAATTATATTTACTTCTACGGTTCTTAAAAAATTTAATCCACGAGCAATATCAAGTGAGAACTTTAATTTTAGTACTTCAAATCGATCTCTACAACTTGTATAAAATTCACGTAAGTTCCCAAATTCGGCCCATTCCGTTACCAAATACGTTGTGCTTCCGTCATTAGTCAGTCCATAAAATTTTATGATGTTTTGCCAATCCTGAAATTCTTTAAGAATTGTAACCTGATTCTGTACATCATTCTCACCCTCACCGATAACCTTGAATGCAAATTCTTGATATTTTTTCGTCCACTTGGTCACTTGACCACCATCACGCTTCTCATCACCTTGGACATAATCTTCAAAGTTTAGGTTATGGACCTGGAAAAGATTATCGATTTTTGATTGAGGTTCGGAATGTTTGGATAACTTTTCCATAGTAGTATGCATTGCGGTGATTTTTAAAACCATATCGGGATAATTTTTTGTAATTTGTTTGATTTCGGTTATTTCGGTTGCTAGCTCCTTGACATCATTTCCAATTTCTTTGACATCGGTTTTAACTTGCTTGACATCAGCTCCAATCTCTTTGACTTCGATTCCCATCTCTTCTATATACTATATGATTACCAAATGTGAGAATATAACGTTAAATGATAAGACAAAGTACGTACGTAAATTATTTTTAAACATACCTTATTTAACTCTTCTTGATCGGCTCTTAATTGTTCAGCTTCATCTATTCTATCTTTAACAGCGATAGTAAAACTTAATAAACTCACACAACTATCAAATTCCCTACATAATTCCTTGAAGGTTTTCTCAATCGATTTCCCTTTAAGATATTTCATCATAGTTTTCATTTGAGAAACCTCTCCGGTAAATTTTTTAATTTGTGATATGACATTACATAAACTTTGTAAACCTAAATAATTTTTTGTATTAAAACATCCTTGATGAACATTTCTTCGAACCTTTAGGTCATGTACGGCTAATTCTGCTGCGTAAACCTTCTGTAACAATACATCACAAATTCGTTTATTGTGTTCGGCTGCTTGTACAATTTCAACGATTTCGTTGAGAACATTCCCAATTTCAGAAATCAAGGGGAAAAATTTTGTAATTGGAACTATTACGGGAACCGACGTTTCGATGGTTGACAATGTAGCGGAAGCCAATTTTCCCGCAGTATTTATTATAGGTTCCGAGGTATCCAAAATATCATCTAATTTTTCTCCAAGATATTCCTTTATGGACTTTTTTTCTTCACCCATTGCTTTTATTTATTTGTTTATTTAATATTGAAAAAAAAAATTTTTTTTTTTCTTTTCGTTTCAGGAGAATTTTTTTTTTAAGAAAATTTATTGAGCATTTATATACACAAAAAAAGAAATTTATGTTTGGCGTTTATTCATTGTGTGTTGTATGGTTGATCCGAAACCCCGACAAAAAAAAAATAAAATAAAATACGGAAATGATTAGCTACTTTTTTAATTCACCATTTTATTGTTTTAAAAGTCAGGTTTCATTTTGTGCCACCAAGATAATGCGCAAAATCACAAAATATACGCCAACGTTACTAAAAAAGTGTTAAATAGAAATCAGATTGTTGGGTGTATGGTTAATGAGCTCAACCTTCATCATCCCCATTTTTAACTACATGCACAATCAAAAAACCGTCTACTCTGCAGATAGTCAATGATCGTGTTATAATTCAATCTCGTCAGTCGCTTCATCATGCGTTTCTGTACAAGATTCGGATACAATTTCATTCAATGAATTGTTCACGTTTTCGTCCTTTTTTTTTTTTCTTTGTTTTTTCTCACTGTTAATACTTCTTTTCTTTTCTTTTCTTTCCCTTCTGTGCTTGGCTGCTCTTCTTCCTTGCAATCTGCAGATGAAGACAGTGTTGATAGCAAGAATATCTTCGGATAGCATGTTAGTCGATTGTTGAATCGTCGAAGAGAACCATGAGTTTTGTAGAGTTGAGCAAGAACATGTATTTGAGGAGTTCGTAGGCGAACTTGCATAATCGATCATAGTGGGTAACCACAATCTCTCTGACAAGAACTTTGCATGATTGTTCCAGTATGGTTTGCATTCATTTGTGTTTGAAGTTGATTCCTGACCCGATATCACTGATGAGTTCTTAGGTTGGAAATTTGGAGCTGAGGAGTTGTTTCTGCTGTGCAAGATCTTCTTTTTGCTTGACACTAGAGATCCGAACGTTGAGGAACCCTTTCTTGGTGGTGGCGTGGTGGTGTTATCGGCATTTTGGGAAGTCAACTCTGGAAGAATGGTAGATAAGTACCAGATTTTTTTTTTCGATATTTATAGAGATAAAATTCTTAAACAAACTTAAATATCTTAATTATTTTTATTTTTTTGATTTGAGCTCGATTTTAAGTCAATTCATTAAAAGTAAATCGATTATTGTTAATAATTAAAGATGAGTTGTATGAATTTCGAGCACGACTTTCAAAAAGAGTGGCAACGTATCAATGAATCAAGATATACGAGAATGTTTGTTTTAATAACGATAAGCTATTCGAATGATGTTGATGAGCAATGTAACTTGGATGATATATTTTTCCTTGCTTTAGCCAGCAACGCAAGGTGTATGACGAGATTCCAAGTTTCTTAGTTGCTTTATGTGCAGAAGAAAAGAAAGAAAGGAGGGATTAGTTTAAGGTTTACGATTTTGAATCTTTTTTATAGGCCTTTTCAAATTGACTCTTTTCTCTTATTGTTTGTAATAATATACCGTTTGAATAGACTCTACATTGATAAATTGATAAGCATTACTTAGCCGATGTTACGATTGTAAATTACCAAGTAAAAATTTAAAACAGTAATTTCCAATTCAACATAATTAATCAAACAAAAGAAAATAAAAAAGTCCGAATTGAATTAATTTGCGTCTATCTATTCCTGACACAATTTAAAGATATACCCGATGCATGTTAAAATTAAAATTTGTGCTGTCATTAAATTAATTCGCAGTCAATAGAACTCGGACCGATCCTCCTTAGAATGTTAAAATCTAAAATGTATAACATCGAGAACAAATTATTCCAATTTTTTTTGGCATCGATACTATTAATATTTCAGTGTTGTAATCAAGGATACTCAAGATTGCAAATGGTCTTGGTTTGTGATAGGCACTGGGAGAACTCTCTTGGGTAAATGCCGTCCAATCCTATGCAATATTACTAAGAGGTTGTACGTGCGAACTTAATTGATAATTTAATTGCTGATACTCTTTTTTTTTTAAAAAAATAATAAATGTTTATACCACACATATCACCATGTTAGAGACCCATGTAGGACTCTAATAAGCGGCAATGAAATTAGTGATTCAAAGCAATTAATCCGATAATAACAAATACGTTAATAATTATTGATATTTATTACGTAAGATCTATGTATATACATTACAGATAATGACAATACATTTCGAAATTCAATTATGATTGCTTTTACTTCTCTTCTTTTTGCGATTGATGTTTGATTTATCATGCAATTAAAGTCGGCAAATTTCTTGATCAATAATTGCATAAGCATTATAATAGCTCGTATATTTTTAAAATCAATTCGTTCGTTTTATTCCTACTTTCAAGCAACGTACCGTGATCGTTTGGATTATTAACGTTGATTTGTTGTACTTTACGAACCGTGTTGACATTTGGCCGTGGCCAAAAGATTTTTTTTTTTCATGACCGAACGGCCAAACGGTCAACCTCCGGCCAAATGCCAACACGGCATTGGCTGTATTTTAAAATGTTTCCAAAAATATTACATGAAAAAAATTTGATCAACTTAAATAATTAAAGCTTACATTATTAAAAATTAATAGATCGGAGAAACGCGATTTTAATCACATCGATAAAAGATTTAATCAAATGAAGAAATTTTGTGGTAAAGAGGAAGAACATTTCACATGAACAGAATTAATCATCATACTACAATAATTAAAATACCCATGATTATCAAATTTTTTTATTTTCTTCTTATTCCACGCAAGACATTCGGCACTTCGTTACTAATTAATTAACGACAAAAAATAGGTGTCAGACATGTATCAGTACAAAGTACAAATTCGTGTATCAAGCGGTATTCATTTATTTTTAAAGCATTAAATGAATACACCATATTAAAAAACCTTTAGTAATGTTTATGTGCCCTCTCTTTTTATTTTTTGCTGCATTTGTAAATTGAACCTTGTTTTACTTTGGATTATTGTTTCTAATTTGAATAGTTACCATGATCTGGTATCGGAGATTAGGATGGGAGGTTGCCAACCTTGGAAATTTTGTACCTTGCAATGTCACAGGCTAGTTTAAATTAATAATTTTATTGAAAAACAAGTGATCAGCTAATGTAAAAAAAATCTTAAGGATCTTTATAGTGGAGAACAACGAAATTGAAAGACCGATAAATTATTATTATTATTTTTTTTTTTTAAAAAAAAAAAAAAAGATTGCAAAGATCAATCGCTTAAATATTTCCACCATGCATGCCTTTGGTACTTTTGGCCGAATAGCTCATGCTACTTAAAAAGATACGTAGCTTAGAAATCAAAATAATTGTCGTTTCGGGACACCATTTATGAAACCATTATAAGCCGTTTGTAAATTTTTAATGTTCAAGCGTTGGTAACATTGGTTGCTATTTATCGCCACATTGGTCCTAATGATTGCGGCCCCCCCATCAAAATGAATGTTACAGTACTTATTTTAAAATCTTAATATAAACCGCGGCGACTAGTTAGAAAACATACAATTACTTTTTTTAGAGTAGCCTTGTGGAACACCTGTCGAATATAAAAAGGGGATAATTTTTCTGATTCCCCCTTCATTTCTCTCCTTTCAATTAAAATTTTCTAACAAAAAAGAGAATAAGTATGTGAGATTGCACAAGCGCGTATGTAATTAAGTTTATCTTTAAACTTATCTGAGTTTTCAGGTATCTGATCAGGTATTTGATTTTAAAAATTTGGCACAAAGATTTAACGTGAATTTTAATTATAAAAAAATTTTTTTTTTATTTTTATTGTTATTTACTACGCTTGTACTAATAGTACAAAATTGCATTCTTGAGGGGAAAAAAAAAAAAAAAAAAAATTAAATGAAATGAAATTTGAAATTTGTTGTTTATTCTACATGGGGGAAAAAAAAAAAAAAAAAAAAAAGAAATCAAATGTTCATCAAAAGCAGAATCCTTAATACACCCTATACATATGCAAGTGATAAATCTCTAAAAAAAGAAACTTTTTTTTTTTAAAAAAAAAAAGAAGAAATTGTTCAATGTTTTTAAATTTGTTCACTTTATCAAGATAAAGGTCTTAAAGTTGAATCAATCCATCTTACAATATTCTCGGTACCATTAATATCTATATCGCTGGTTAAATAACCACCTTTACCATCTAATAATAATACTTTATCATGATACTGTAATAAATCCTTATTGTGAGAAACGGTAATTGTAGTTATGCCCAATGCTTTGCATTTATCAAAGAATAGTTTCTCGGTCTCTGAATCCAATGAACTTGTTGCCTCGTCAAGTGCGGCAAAAGTTGGTTCCCAGAAAAATAATCTAGCAAACGCAAGCTTTTGTTGTTCGCCAGGACTCAACATTTTATTCCAATCAATTCCATATTTTGAATCAAATGACTCCACTATTTGTTCAATGTGCGTTAAATTAACCAAAGACAGTAACATTCTTACTTCATCATCATTTACTAAACAAACAAATAAATATATATTTATAAGAACATTTTTTTTAAAAATAAATAAATAAATAAAATAAAGGAATCATAATTACTTAGTTTATTTTTCTCGTCGTTTAAAACGGGATAAGTCAATTGATCACGTAATGATCCAAATACCAAATAAGGTGTTTGTGGTAAGTATATTAAATATTTGTGGTTGATCTGCTTTTGATGTTCAATTTGACCTTTTGTTGTTGGCCATAACCTGCACATGACTCTCAATAATGAAGTTTTTCCACTTCCATTTGGTCCCATTATTATAACATTCTTTTCTTGCTCGATTGTGAATTTAAAATCTGACAATAATGGAGTTCCCGTGGGGGATGCGAACGAAACTTGACTAAATTCTATCGAAAGTTCAGTACTAAAAAAAAATGATGCCAAGTTAACACGCATTTCATAATATATATTATTTTTGAAATGGAAAAAAAAAATATAGTTACCCAGGACGATATTCGAAGGGATAATCGGGGTCAACGTCATCAGAATTATTGCTAATATCTTCGATTGCCTCCAATAATTGCCCAATACGTGCAGTGTAACCTGCCAAATCCGATACATTCGTGCTTTGTTTTACAATTACCGTAAATCGGTAAATCAGGTACAGGGAAAGAAAAGAATTCATACTAATGATCCCACCTAATTTATCTTTCTCGATCCCATCATACTCTCCAGTGAAAACAGGAATTGCAATAATGAGATAACTGAAAATTGACCCAAAGTATGAGAATGATTCGGTGAGAACGTCCAAATATAGTTCACGATCAATAATTTTTCGTTGATATTTCAAGATGTTCTTAAAGAAAGAGTCTAGACGATAAAGTTCAGACTTTTCACCCAAACTGAATGCGATTGATTCAGCGAATTGTCGTATTCTCACATGAAGGAATCTAAAATTCCCTTCATGAAATTCTTTTACATACACCAAATTTACCAAAGGATTTATAAGGAATCTACTTGCAATAATCCCTAAGATGAAATATGAATAAATTAAAACAGGACCCAAATAACCAGTCAAACTACTTGTCTTGTAAGTGTAATAAATGATGAGAAATGGTGTGATGATTGTCTCTTGACATATCTCTCGAAAGGTCTCTGAGAATTTATCAACATCTTGTGTAATTCGTTGATCACTATGGGAAAGAAAATCGGATGACATCAATAAGAGATGAATTAAGTTGAGGGACAACAAGAAACAGCACGAGCAAAAATTTTGCTTACGGATTATCGATGTCAGTTCTGGAGGTTAATAAACGATAGAAGGAACTTTTATTCACGTATTTACTTTGTAAAGTTTTCGTCAATATATTCCTTGTTGATAAGGCAAATAATCCTCCAATGAATTTAACGACGCTTTTACACTTCAAAATAACAAGAGAGATAAAATTAATTGAACGCGTGAGATAAACCAAAAAAAAAAAAAAATTATTTTAAATACTTACGAATCCAGCACTAAGAATGATCGCAATCGAATAAATCATGAGTGGCTTAAAATTATTAAAATCTTTGCCTATCAATACGGTATAAAATCTGCTTGGCACCGTACCAGCAAAATACACCAAAATTTCATTTAATAAACTGAGGCATATTAATGAAGACCATATCATCATCACATTTCCATTTGGATTTGAAGGAGAGAAAAGTATACGTAATATGCGATGGAAACGACGTAAAAATAGTCGATTGAATGAAGATTGGGATTTGTTTTTTATGTATTCTTGTTCTGTTGCTTCTAACGGAATCGGTTTTATAGTCGTACTTAATTTGATATTTAAAAAGGGTGAATCAGTGATAAGCACATGTGATATGAGTGAATTTGATGTGATGTTTAAGGAAACATTATTTTTTTATTTACCTTGATCCTTCTTCTACCTTGAGTGTCGTTTCATCTTCATCAAATATTGATACGGGATGATAATCATAATTCATGGTTTGACACGAAAAGGTAAAATCGTAAAATAAAGATTTCAAGTAAAAAAAACCAAGAAAGGAAATTTTTAACAAGAAAATATGTATGTCCTGATGATGTGATGACTGATATTAATAAATTTGAAAAAAAATTTTATTTTATCTCTGGAAAATAATTAAATGAATTGATTGATAGATCAAAAAAAAAAAAAAAAAAAAAAAAAAAAAAATTAAGATTCAATGGAAAAAAAAAAATTATAATTGTGGGGGTATTTATACATGAAAAATGATCTTCAATATATGTTGTAAATTAACGAACCAATCGGGAGACATAGATTCAAGATTAAGGTCAGGATTGTTAATGCATTAGGCTAATCAACCATTTTCTTATCATAAAGTGTCAAGGAAACTCTTTAACTCTTAATGAAATTATCCCGATACGGAAATGTTTACTGAGAGAAAAAAGGTATCTATTGAAATGTGATTTCAGAATTTTCACAATGCTAGCTGAATTCCTGTGAAATGACGTTTTTATTTTAGGCTGACAAACAATAGTAAATGCCCGCAGCACGTGCGAACACAGCTATTTTTAATACATCCATATTTGTTAATAATGAACCCTAGAAAAAAATAAGGCACACAATAAAGGTTTGAATGAATTTTCGCTTCGAATACAAAGCGATTTTCATTTTCGTCCTCTGACGCTATTGTAATGAAAAGGAAACAAGTGAATGATATCATGCATGTTGAATGTACGTTCCATCTACAAATTCTAGGAGAACCCTTCCTATTATGTTCTTTATAAAGACTAATTTACACTTCACATTGGAAGTGACAAGTTTTATTAAACATTTTTGGCGCCAATTTGTTAATTCCAATATTCATTACAATATTCATTAGGGTTACCTCTCATTCATAGAACATGGCTTTTGTGTAATAAATAAAATCATTCTGTTTTATTTGGTCCATCATTATCACACGATTTGCAAGGTCTTATTTTTTTTTTTATTCAATATGCCTTATATATCTCTGATATCAGCAATTGACCAATAATCACATATAATGATTACTTCAACTACTTAATGGAAAGGACCGATGGCTAAGCCCTCTGGATTATAATATGTACGCATATGGTGATTAAAATGAAGTGACCAAATAATTTTTTTGGATTCTCGCTCTTTAAAAAAAAAAGGGGGAAAGACTAATTTGTATGACAAAACCATTGTTTTGTTACCTTAAAAGATATTAATAAAGTTAAAGTTGATTAAGTAAGTTTTTTTTTTTAATAACATCATAGGTTTTATTTTTCCTTTAAATATTCATTATTATTTTTCTTAATAGTTAAAATGGATATATTTGTTAAGGAATTTAGATGACCGATTGGCGGTTTCGGATATTTGTTTGTTTACATTTGTTAATGATTTTTTTTATTTTTATTTTTTCTTGTGGATAGATATTTTTACCTTGAAATTACAAGATTTTAATCAAGTATTCCATTTATTTCATTCCTTAATGATTGGTTAAGATATATTAGTTATTGTTGTTTTCTATTGTTAAATTTAAATTTGTGTTACCTTGGATTCCATCAACATCTTTTTTGTTGCATGCATTGTCACCCAATGAATCTTAACACATGAAATTACAATTAACCTGAATAAATAATAAATTTAGATCTTTTTTTTTTTTTTTTACGTCGATCTGAAAATCGCAAAAACTTTTTTTTTTAAAATGGAAAATGAAAAAAAAAAATATACACATCACATATACAGTATAAATTTTTATATGTTACTTTGTTACAATAAGAATCAAATTTCGCAAAATTCCTTTGCCGAAGTCCTTAAAATGTTTAAGAAGGAAGATTTTCAACTTCCGTATGTTTGAGGTTCAAATTAAAAAAAAAAAAAAAGATAATTCAACTTTGGATTGTGAACGAAAAAAAAATAAAAAAAAAGCGTCTAATTCTTTATTTTTTTGACTAATTTTATTGTAGTTAGATCCAGAACTTTAAACACAAAATATCGCATGTGAGGTACGAAACATCACCTTTATTTTTATTTTTGAAGTGATGACATTTCGATGATATCACCAAGATCATTATGGTTGCGCAAAATAATTAGTGCAGTTTTGTGATATAATGGCACGTTTCAATTTTACTCGTTTGAGACCTATCATCTTAATCAAACAAAGTGCATTACTTTATCATGAAATTGATCTGAACCCAATTGCGTCTATACGAAACGGTGTGCTATTTTCTGTTTGGAACAAATTGCTTTTCAGGAAGGGGGAGTTTAAAATCATCATTTACTCCTTTGTTTAAGTTCTATCCAAAGAATCCTAATAAAGCACAATGATTAACAAATTTTTCCTCCTTTTGTTCTAATTTAACCTTATCCAATATTGTTTTCATAATGGATACAATGATACCTTTTGTGATGATTTCTAAAAACAATTTCATTTTAATTTTTTAAATAAATTTCTTTTTTTTTAAAAAAAAAAAAAAATAAGTTGATTTAAAATGGGGCGCTCATGAAATTCGCGTGGCTTACGAGAATTTTAAAACCTCCCGACTTGCAAAATAAGAACATAATATGAACATAAAACGTTAATGTGTAATTGTGGCCAAACAAGGTTTCTGGTAAATAGCACATGTTTAATTGTACCGTTTAATTCGCTACACAATAAAAATTAGTTAATGTTTATTGAAATACATTCGAATTTAGCCCTCTTTCAATGTTCATATGTGGAGGCGAATCTCAATAAAAAAGTTTATTGCCAAATAATCTTTTGAACTTGTTTCAAAGCTATTAATAATTTTAATTGAGCAGTACATTAATGTTACGAATAACAATTGTCAAGATGAAAACATCAATCGTTCAGCAATAATTGTAAAAAAAGTCGGATCAAGAAACGAGAAGAATATGTAATTATGGTTTAAGAGTGATATAATAATGTATTTATTTATCAGGAAAAATTAAAGACAAATTACGCGTTGAAATAATTTAATTTTGAATGAATTTAATTATTAAATAAAAAAATGCTCAATTTTTTTAAAAAATAATACAACGCAACTTATTTTCTACGTAAATATTTCAGCAAGTGTAACGGAATATGTTACACTGCCCATTAAATTTTCACGGTTCAAGAATTCTGTTGGAAATTGTACTAAATGTCCTTTTACATTGCTTAATTTCCTTTCAACTTCTGCGTAACCTTGAGAATTTGCATCGATAGGCATTGTCGTAGGATTCGATACAAACTTTTTATATTGTTCCCAATCAGTGACTAAACGAAATCGGTGGAAATAAATTAATTAATGATTCACATTCCTTCTTTTTATATAACTTAATTTCGTATTTACTTACTATTATCATCCGGTACACTTTTAAAAACAGATCTGTAGATTTCAGTATTATCTTGCGCAGTTTTTGACCAGTAATCATAAAATTCATCTGATAATGGATCCATGATTAAATTTTCTCTTGTGGGATGTTCTTTAGACTTATTTTTTTGAGATGAAATTTGCTCATCTAGTAAAGAAGTAACCGTTTGCTCTTTCTCATGTGAAAATATAAATAAATCTTCGTGATTTAAAGGTGGTAAACAACTCTTCGTTATGGTACTATGATCTTGTGGTTCAAGTAAACCAAGATGTTCCTTAAATATATTTTTTCTTAGTGTATAAGCAAACTTACTTGCCTTATACTAAATAAGCAAAGGATGAAAAAAAAAAGGGATTTGAAGGTTTTTAAATGGGTTTTAATTGAATTTTCAATGCTTTAAAACATACCTTTTTACCGTCCATAAACGTGTCAACGGTTTTCTTATCCTCGATGACGATCGCGATTTCTGAATCTCGATTTCCAAGTTGTGACCTATCATTGATATTCGCTACAAAAAAAAATGAAAAATAAAAAAAAATAAAATAAAAAATAGATGAATAATTTAAAAATAAATAAAAGTGCGTTTGATATCATTGCAATTTACCAGATCCACATAAAACAAATCTATCATCCACAATCATTAATTTACTATGAATGTAAACTTCCTCAGTAACATGCAATTGCTTGGAATCCTTTTGTTTAATACCATCAGGTAAAGCCGGTTCACCACCTATCCTTTCGTTTGCGATGTGTTGCGAGTTTTCATCTAAAAATTGATCATCGGAGTCGGTTGAAGAATGATGGCCATCTATATCATGAATTTTGTCATGACCACGTAATGCAAAAAATGAAATATAATTTTCCGGATTAATTCCAGCCTCGGAAAGTTTCTCCAATATAGATCTTCCACCACGACATATTGAGGTATATTGCCAATGCATTACCAAACTAAATATAATAATAATAATCCTTAATAATTTGAATTTGAATAAGTTAGTTAAATTATCTAATTATCATTTACCGAATTGTTCCGGCATCCTTCGAGTTCAAATCGGCCTCAAACGCTGGCAATAAAGGCATCACGACTATGATACGAAATTTTTCTTTATTTTTGTGCGCTTTTTTTATTCGCTCTACAATACACTGTTAAATAAATGTGATTAATAAATAAGATTTTGAAGAATTTAACTCCATTTTGCTTTATCGAAATACCTCGCCGATCCTATTTTTAATAGGATGACTAGGATCCGGTCCTGTCGAAGTGACTAATCAAACGAAGAAAGGAAGAGTTATAAAATGTAATACGAGATTTTGTATTTCTAAAAAAGGTAACTCACTAAAAAATTGATTTTCGATATATATAAAGTGTTTGGATGTTCGAATCAAATGACAATACGCGTTATAAATCGAATTCTACATTGTAAATAAAAAAATTGGTTTGAATCCAATTAATATCTAATATATTCAATTAGCAAAAAAAAAAAAAACCTACAAACCTCTAGTTTAATTCCGCTACTCCAAAAATCACTACTTCGCAAGAGTTGAACATCACAGGTACCGAAGAATTTGCTTTCATCCCGAGTGCTAACGTATTCCGCTTTTGGCGTTAGAAAAGGAAATTTTTCACGTCCAAAAGCCTTC